AGTTACGCAAAATTTAGCGGCGTAACGAGCCTTGATAATTTCGCTCAGGCGATACGTAGAATCGACAACTCCAACGCGGAAAAGAGTGTGCAGACTCACACAGACGCCGACAACGTGACATTCCAATGGTTTGTTGACGCGGGACGCGGTGCTTCTTGCCCGTACTCCATTGCGCATGCGTTCAAACTGTCGTCTGCTCTTTCAAACGTGTCTGCTTTTTGTCGTCAGCTCGTTCAAACGACAGCGGCCCGTAAACCAAACGTTGACCCGGTAATTGCAATAAGAATTAAGTGCAGGCCTCAAAAGACTTTTGAAGGTTGGTTGGGTAAGTAGGCTAAGTGTAAACAGTAGATACAAGATGATGTTGATCATTGCTACCAGTGGCCATCACCTACTTATTATTCCCGATCCTACTTGCGGTTTTCAGTATCGACGTCCACCATCTCAGGTATACGGTCCACGCTTTTGCAGCCCGAGCGACGTCGCGTCTGAAAATAGCGAGCAGAATCTCATCGTGGGAGTCAGGCTTTAGCGCCCATTCTGCGGCGTCCACGTGAAATGAATCGCCGCACGTTACATTATTCACGCAAAGTTTTGCCTCGTTAATTTTGCCGAAGCCGCTCAAGTAGTCAGACATTGTTAGGAGGATGTAGAATCAACAATTTCTACATGAAAAAGAGCACGGGGACTCCCACCAACGCCGACAACAACGCAATTCAATGGCTTGTTTATGGGCGACGGAGGGTTTCTTGCCCACCATCTACCGCGCATATGCGGCGCCATGGCGTCCGCTAGGGGCGCTCCGGTTTGTTTGTAAACATGAGTTGGTGTATATACTGACAAAGCCTGGCAGATAGCCACCCGAAGCGGCCGCCGAAATGGAAAGGTGGAGCGGCAGACACCGAACGAGAGGAGAGCCACGTGACTGGCGCCCCGCTGCGGCGAGACGCAGAAACACACTTCTCCCGAGCGAACAAGTGTGTTTCGGGTCGTCGCCGCTGCCAAAGCTGCGCGCTGACGTCCAGGTTCCCCGAGAAATGGCTTTTTGATGCTCTGTGCTCTACCAGATCCTCACGCTCCAAATCTGCGACCGGGCACTTTATGACCCCGTCGTCGAACTGCCAGGCTTTGCGAGTATAGAGGAGGCTATGCCTACAGCTAGCTAGCTGCCTTTGTCTCCACTGCACTCGTCGAACGCGTCCCAACGCGAAAGCCACACGGCGCACGCCGACGTCCCGCTTTCTGAAGCAGCAAACACGTAAAACGTTGTCGTTGTTGTTGTTTTTTGTCTGCGTAAGGTTTATTCCCTGATCATTCGAAAGAGAGCTCGACGTTCTGATGTCACGCCTGCTCCCTTTCACTCCTTTCTTTTAGCTTCTGGGCGGATAGGGGGTATCCGCGTGTGCTTTACACTATCAAAACGGTCGGCGGAGAGCAAGTCGTCCGCCTCACGCGCATGAGTTGTGGTGACGTCAGAAGGACCCTGAGCTCTGATTGGCTTTCATTGGAAGGATAGTGGGTAGACCTCAATGCTCGATGTCTTGAGGTCTACCCACTATGTTTTTCAATCATCCAATAAGAGCTCGGCATCCTGACATCATCGCAACCCCTGTGCAAGAAACAGTGACGACACTTGCGCTCCGGCTATGGGGAATGGGCACAAAGGATTAAATTCTCTACATGGATAAAGAGGTGAAATTTGAGTTTGGTGGGTGCTCTTCGGCTTGTTCGCCGAATGTGCGATGGTATACCAGTACATCAACCGGTCGCCGGTGTTGTAATCGAAATGTACAGTTTATCAAGGGGTATATAAAAAAACTCGTTATGATTGTATAATTTAACAAAATTCATACCTAATATTATGCCATATTTTGTAGTGTCTAAGATGTGTATTACACCTGTAGAAAAATATATTTCTGAGGTACCTAACGCAATGTTTTTACAAACAACGACGTTCAAACGAGCACTATTTAACGATAAAGAAAGTGGAAGATTGGCCATACGACTGCAGTAAATTAGAAGAATCTATAGTGCCAGATACACTTTATTTTCCTAAATTTTTTTTTTTTTTTTTGGTTTCTTGAGATTATTTCGCCAAATAAGGTGGGAATTCGTTCTCGTTTACACTTTTACGGTCATTTCCGGTGTTTAGCTGCTACGGACATCAATAAACTAGCAAACAAAACAGCTGGTTTGTGTTACGGTAATTCAAAATTATTATAAAAAGTGTTTAAGTATATACTCGCTAATATTTAATGATATGTCATCATAACAAAACGATTTTTTTTTAAAGGAGCAGGAGAACAACGATGAATACCCAATTTATAAAGGGATGAATGTTCTCGTGAACTAAACATTAAGATGTCAGGGGTAATATTTAATCACATACTATGTGTTTGCAGTAAATTAATTATCCCAATCGTCTTGCACACAAACAGAAAAAAAAATCGGAAGAAGGGCGTATTAAAATATCCGACTCGGTGTTACACTGCACGAAGAGGGCAGAAGCTTAAGATTTTGAAATAGCACCTCCTTATAGTTGGCGGCCTTAAATTTTATATTTTGTCGGCAGTTGAAAACTCTGTCGATTTCAAAACGTCCCGTGCCATCAGCTCGCGGAGTGGGCAGCGTCTGGACTTAAAAGTCAAACGAAGTATATGCTATTGCCGCGTGCGCGACGGTGTTGGCAACGGATGCGGACTGTCACACAAAGGAATGGGGTTCGAATCGAGATCGGCCCGGATCGTCATTTCATTGATTCTGTACGTGTATATGAAAGTAGTGATGACGCGCCGCTTCGGGTCATTCACCCTTCCGTCGCCGCTGCAAGATGCGCGGCCCTTTTCTCTTTATGTATGCATCGGCGCAATTTCGACTCATTAAACGTTTAATTGTCGTTCTAAATACATCTACTCTTTTTATTGTTGAACAACATTATACCAGGTGGAAGTGGCGTACCAACTTGTTTTTGAGTGTGTGTACGTGTGTATGTGTGGGGAGCATACCTTGGCAAACCTCACTCATGAGGGCCCTCACTCACCCTCATCCTCACAGGTGAGGTGAGGGTGAGTGAGTTTCTGAACCAGGAAAATTCATGAGTGTGAGGGTGAGTGAGGGCCGTGAGGGCCGTGAGGGCGGTGAGGGCGGTGAGGGCGGTGAGGGCGGTGAGGGCGGTGAGGGCCGTGAGGGCGGTGAGGGCGGTGATTGGCGTGAGGGCGGTGAGTGGCGTGAGGGCTATGAGTGCGTGAGGGTGGTGAGGGTGGTGAGGGCAATGAGGGCGGTGAGTGCGTGAGACCCCTTCAGATCGAGCATCTTTCTCAGCAATTTTGGTGCTAATGGCGGGTTGTTCTCCAGCTTTCCCTAGATCGACACGAATTGCTGAGATCGGGTCCGGCTCGAAATAAGCAAGCAACTCGGAGCAATTCGAATACGTCTGAAGCGGCTGCATCCAATCAGGGACGCAAAATTTTCACGTGATACCTCGTGCCGGTGATTATGACACCGAAAGACTTGGTTCTGGTTTGAACTCGATCGTTTTTTGGAAATAAACTGTTTCAGAAAGGTGCATTAGCCTTCTTAACGAGGTTTAAATGCATAAAAACACGTTTCTAACGCGTAATTGTGTCTAAATAGTGCAAGAAAAATAAAATTTTATGATGACGATGGCAAATTGCAGCAATTGGTTGCTGCGTGCGATCGCGGGCGGCCCGTGTTGCTGGTGTTGCGACGTAAAGTTTCTGGGCGAAATCGCCCCATCTGAAGCTGGCCTGAGTGGCGTGATGGTCATGAGTGCGTGAGGGGCGTGAGGGGTGTGAGTGGCGTGAGGGCGGTGAGTGGCGTGAGGGCCGTGAGGGCGGTGAGGGCCGTGAGGGCGGTGAGTGGCGTGAGGGCTATGAGTGCGTGAGGGCCGTGAGGGCGGTGATGGGCGTGAGGGCGGTGAGTGCGTGAGGGCCGTGAGGTTCAGTGAGGGTGAGTGAAGGGCTGAAGGTGAGTGTGAGTGAGGGGCTGAAGGTGAGTGTAGCTGTGAGGGTGAGGGTGAGTGAGGGGCTTAGGTGAGTGTGGCTGTGAGGGTGAGGGTGAGTGAGGGCAACCTAAAATGCCGACCTCTGGTCGCGACCGCTTGCGCCATCTCTTGTCTCCCGTGCGAAACGGTGCCGTGTTGTTCGCACGAGAGGTGCAGAATTAGATACGAAAACATTTATTGATTTATCGACAATTTGCAGCCCCTGCTTCAGGCAGTGGTGCAAATTGTCGATAAATTAATAATTGTATGCATATCTAATTCTACACCTCTTGTGCACTACAAAATCGTGTACCATTAGAGCAATAGAGAACAAACGTTGCTCGCTGATACACTTAAATAAAATCGGCCGGTCTTATTTAAAAGTTTCAACTTAAAATACTGCAACGACTCGGGTACATGAGATGCACTCTTCACTTGCTGTCCACTCGAGTGATAGCTTTGGCAGTGCTTGTTCTCGGTCTGTCCTAAATAAGAGACAAACTTATTAGGGAGTTTTAGTAGATATTGTTCTGATACCTCTTATAACCATACCCGATATTCCACCAATGCCTTTGTGTATAAATCATATAGTTACCAGGTACCGTCATCGGAGGAATTGGATCTATCTACTAAATCTCACTACCGTAAACAGCCTTATTTTCACATGCTCAATATTTTTAAAATTTTGTGAACTGCAAATTTGAAAAATATTTTACAAAAGCAGAAGAGTGTGCTATGTATTTATAACTATGGGGTGATATATTCACACAATGACTTTTTGGCAATATTTCTGAAGTCACAAAATCTAGGACCTGAGGAAAATTGGGTAATTTTCCAGTATACTGTTTCAAACAAGTCAGCTCTGGAGCCGCCTGAAACCTGATTCACACAAGAGCTTTAAAAACAAACAAAATTACCCCCCCCCCCCCCAAAAAAAAAAAAAATAGTTATGCAGAGGGAATTTATCATTAGTCAAAGACAAGACTTGTCAGAGAGGTGGCAACGATAATGTCCTTTCTTTCCTCTTAACCACATTGAGAACAATAACATCACTGTTTCATGTCCTAGAGGACTTGTCACACAACATAACATCAAATATCTGCTTATGAAGCCCCATGTAAACAGTGGCATGGCCTTCCAGGGCAACAAACTTTGGCCTGCCTATGAAAGGCCAATAGGGAATAATCACCACAACCTGAAAATTTCCATCTAGACAGTAAATGTTGTTTTGCCTCGTCCCCTATCATGTTTTCCCAAAACTTGGGTCCACACATTGCATATTTTCCAGAGTAAATGTTAGCTACATTATTCTCTTGTTATACTCAAAGAGCTCCTTTTTTTCCCCTCTTGGCTAGGCTGCAAGAACTCGTCCTGTGAAAGAAGTCAATAGATAATTGAAGTCTGGTTCACACACTTGCACTTGAGTGTAATTAACTGCATTACAACCGCTTACAAGAGAGCACACTGGTGCCATTTATCCAGTAGCCCTGGAACATTTCTGACCTGCCATGTCCAATTTATTTATGCATCATTCTTTTGCTTTGGGCTGGATATAATTCTGACAATATTATTAGTAGTCATTTCTCATAGATAGTGCATAGATTTCATCTCTCAAATACAGCAATTCGTTCCAGTCTATACCACTGTGTAAAATATGTGAGGACACACGGCACGGCGAACGCTCGACCAGAAAAAGTCCCATCGGCGTGCGCAAGAGTAAAGGGAGTATTTAGCAATGTGCGTTCCGCACCATCAAGATTGCCAGTCTTAGCAGACTATTAAAGGGATACTACAACGAAATTTCGGCGCTCATATTTTGGTCTTTATGTGTTCAGAAGAGCCGTATCACATCGAACATACCAATATCTTGTTAAAAAAGTTTCGAAAAGGAATTTTAAAACAAATTAAATGTTAAGCAAAGAGCACCTGGTGGATGTCGCTAACTCCTCGTTTGTAATGCTCGTCTAGGAACCTTGACAGCTAGTGACGGAGGTTGTCTTGCCTCCGGCCAGGACGAAAGAAGAGGGGAAGGAGGAACTCCCCTCTTCCCGAGAAGGCCTTTTGTGTGTCGCAGAAGCCGCTATTGTCCCCCTACAAGATTACAGAAGATTAACCCGTCACTCAAAATTCGTACAAAAGCAGCCGCTTCGGTGGCTTGAACGACTAGGCCATCCTCTCGATGTCAGCCTCGCCATAGCTTTGCTCGTCCCGAGACGACCTACGTCACGATAGTGTTGGATCTCACGTGGTCTCCGCTGGGCTTTCTTTGAGCGCTTGCCAGAGTGGGCTCCTTATAACGAAAAATACAGCCACCAGGCTCAAAATACAAACGTGCGATTGTCTTTTACGGATATTGTGGATTACATTCAACCTATTTTTGAACACAACGGGAATATTTCAAATTACGTTGAAGTATTCCCTTAATGTGAGCTCGCTCTGAATATGCGCTCTAAACATCCCCTCAAATTCGGCATCCAGTGAATACCCCCCCCCCCCCCCCCTCCATAGCCTCAGCCTACAGTGTCTCCGCCACCCAAACAACAAAACTGGAAAAAAACACACAAAAAAAAAACAAGTTTTTTTTTTTTTTTTTGTAACCTAGACATGCAATTTTTCCGTTCGGAGCCTCTGCTGAGGCTTTGACAGACGGCTTGACATTGCACCAAAGATCTCTCTGCTTCAATGCGTTCATAAAACTAATTGCCGCCGTTAGGCACGAAATTAGGACCAGTGATGAAGCAGTGTCTAAGCAACCTGCGTAGCGCAAGTGCCAAGTTCTACACAATGTGGCACACCCAAAAAACGCCAGTGCATTGTCTTGTCGTAAGCGGTGGCAATGCGGTCAACCACACTTAAAAACAAATATGTGAACCAGGCTACTTCAGTTCCACGAGAATAGAGACTCGAGGACGTCCAACCAAGTGATAGAGAGCCTGTATTACAGATTTTCCAACTGCTCCAGAGGAGGCGACGAAAGCTTTGGTCATCTGCAAACGTCTCTGCCTGTTTTCCTCGTCGCCACGCGAAAACAAACCACATGCGCACTTGGTGCAAACTTCGGCAGCAAACGCTTCCCATGGTTAGGGATGGACCCTCTCTCCAATGTAGGCTCTCTATCAAAGGGTAGACCAAATGGCTTATGCACTACCGCCATCTCTCGAATAACACGAAAAACTGGATCAAAGACAGCAACAATTGCACGATCACCAATCGTAGCTCCACCGGAGCGAAACGATTTTTGGCCGGCACGCAACTACCTTACTGCTCTGCGCGACTGCTACGCACAAAGATGACGTCCTCGTCCGTTCCGAAACGCTTCCGCGCTTTCTCGAAGGCGTCGAATGGCACACTGCACAGCCGTTCGCTCTTGGACGGGTTTCGATAGAGCAGTTTCTTCTCGCTCATCCTGTAACCGCAGAGCACCACGTAGTGTCCCTGGAAAGGAAAGCACTTGCCCAGCATGCCGGACACCTTGGCGACGATGCGGTTGCTGGCCTGGCACGCGTCGCAGAACAAGAGTCCCTGGTCAACCAGCACGATTATCGGACTGCCGCGAGACAAGTGTTCTAAGATGTCGAGGAGGGTCACCGACCTGCGCTCGACGATTACGCCGCGCGAGGACGCCTCCCTGAAGCGGTCTTCGACGCGCTGGTGGTCTCTTAGCAGCGAGAGCTTGTAGTAGAGCTCGTTCTTGTATTTGGGGTTGACGCCCAGTGTGACCGTCGTGTAGACGTGGTCGATGCCGTACCGCCGGAGCAGGTAGCACAGGTCTATGGTCCAAGTGCTCGCGCCGAAGCCTTCTTCCTGCGATATGCGGTCCCGGTTGGCGAGGAAGTCTCGACGTTCTCGGTCGGTCGCCAAGAGCATGGCCACGCAAGAGACGCCACAGTCCCATGATAGCTTTTGCTCCACATGTCGGAGCGGGATGATCACGGAGCTCCGCCGGGATTCCATCTAGCGCCGTTTGGATAGATTCTCCATCGCTGAACACCGCCGACAAAACACAGCAAGCACAGGTGTGGCACAGCCGGGCACAGCTATCAGCAACGCAACCAACCTCTACGACAAAGCCACAAAGCTGACAAAGAACAAAAGCGAAACAAAAAGGTTAATATAAACCTCTCTTCATAGATGGCAGCAGCAGCATCATAAGGTCGAATAACTATCATCATCATCATCATCGACAAATTTAACAACTTTAGTAGCTTTTAGATATTTATTTTACGCCTCCGCCAAAGTACTATCTTTGCACAAAACGCAAGCGTTCATTGTCTGCATCACGCGAGAGAACTCGTTTCAGCTGCACAAATGTATAAATCAATATATTCTTCGTTTGTTAATAGTAGCCACCCGATGTCGCTACCCGTACAGCAAGCTGGAGTGTTGGTTTCGGATTCGAGACAGACTACCGCACGTTGCACGCTATAGAAAAATACTAATATCGATCACGGCGCAGTCTCGTTTTTAAAATGGATTGTATCAACCGCAAACAAAGTGACGTGAAACAATAAAAGCGAATTGTTCGGCATGTTTAATTTGGGGTCGATTTTATTGTTTGATATCGCCGTTCGTATCGCATTTTCTCCTGTCGCTAAACCAGCTAAACCCTGTACGAGTTGCTGCCGCTCGGGCGTGCCGCTGGCTGGTCACGATTGATTTTTCGCCAGCCGCGACGCGTCTTGAGTCGCGGTACAAGAACGTAAAAAGTCGCCGCAGACGTCCCCGCAAAACAATCGCGGACTTTCGAAGGCCCAAATTCTGCAATAAATCGGGCACCGCGTTGAAACACGGGATGCCCGCTGCGTGCAGACGGCATTGCAGCGGCGGCCATCTTGGAGCCAACTAGACAATAGGGGAAGGGGGGGAGAACTCACGGCGGCGAGGGGAGCGGAGGGCAACGTAATGACATCGATAGCTTTTTTCCAGCGTTTCCTAACCTTGTGACGTTTTTCGAGCTCCGGTGTGCTGTGTTGATAGTGGTTCCTCGATGCGCGCCGCTTGGGATATGTGCCGCGAGGAACCCAGGATGTGAACCGAACGCCGTGCACGGCAGCGGCGACGACCGAACAGGCCCCTGTGCAAACAGCCGCTGGGCCAGCGGGGCTTGGCGCGGCTGGGACTAGGCTTAGCTGCGATCTGGGCCAGCGCTGCCCCTACCGTGACTGATGATCGTCAGGTGAACCCGGGCCCCGCGAAAGCATGGAGAGGCTGCACAAGGAGCCCGGCGGGTACACCAAGGACTCGTCCTCCTTCACGCTGGAGCTGCAGAAGTTCCACGAGTCGCGCGGGTGAGTTGTTTCGAGTGCGCCCCTGCGCCGCGCTCTCTCAGCCATTGTGGCCGTCTCTTCCGAGGTCCGAGCTGCTCGCTCGCGAAGCGTTTGTTTTGTCGGTTTGGGCCCGGGAAGAAGTGTGACGAGCTCGTGCGGTGTTCCCGCAGGAGTCCATTCAAGCACGCGCCACGGATAAACGGCCGAGAAGTGGACTTGTTCGCGCTCTACAACGCCGTGACGGGGCTCGGCGGTTGGCAGAAGGTGAGAGCGGAGGGGTCTTTTCCTACGGGCGTTCGTTTGAATTTACCTCCAAAAATTCGCGGTCACCCAGGTTTGGGACCGGTTGCTCGGCCCCCTTTGCACGTCCTCGGCGTGCGGGGCCTTTTTTTCTTTTCTCGGGGTTCGTTCGCGATGTTTTGGGGGTCTTGGAAAAATTCGACTGCCGTCGAAGGATGTTCGGTCGGGTTGGTGTGGGGGGGTGGAGGGGGGGAATCGCTGGGTCGTCGGCGGTACTTCGGTGCCCGGGGGAGGGTCATTCGACACCTGGTCCGTCGTGCGGTCGCTCGCGCCCGATCGTCGGCGTCGTTGACACACCGCGGGCGGGGGTTCTGGCCCCGAATTAAGCTCGTTTGCGAGAAACAAAGGCGGTCCAGTGAGCTAGGACTAACGTGGATGGTGTTCAACCTCCCGCATCGTTGAAATCTGCTGCGTCGCAAGTCGCTGGCAGACAACTTTGGATGGAGACGGGCGCTTTCTGGGGGACCGAGTGGTTCTGTTTGTTTGTTTTGTCCACGAGCCTGAAAAAAATCTTTGTTTGCGTGTTAGGTGAACGATCTGCTCAAGTGGGATTACATCTTGGACAAGCTCAACTTTCCCAGAGCTTGTGTCAACGCGTCGCTGGCCCTCAGACAAGTCTACGTTCGGTGAGTTTTGGGACGTTGCTTTTTTTTTTTCTTTTTTTTCTGGCAGTTCAGTTCAGGTTGGAGCTGGGGAAGGATGCCATACTACACACCTGAATACAATTTTGTTTAAAGCAAAATAATGATATAAGATATTGCCTATGTTCTTTTTTTTTTTCTTTGGTTATCGGGTAAAAAAGAAGCCACAACGTGAGCGCGCGCAAAAACGTGCTCATAAAAAGAAAAACAAGTCAAGAATACGAAAAGCACGTGTTACGTCGTTCCATTCAAACTCGCGAAAATCGACGGCCAGCTGGTTGGAGCGTTGCTGGTTTTGGTGTGATTTTCATTTTTGTAACATTTTTTTTTCTTTTTTTACTCTTGTTGTAGCTTTTTTGCAAGATGATAGTGTGTAAGGGACTGCAGCGCTTTGGGGTCCGTTCGCTGAATAGCCTGGTACGCTTGCTAGCAAAGCTGTCTAGTTCGATTGCATCGGAGAAATGCTTTCTTCCTGCTTTGATATCAATCGTGCAGGGTCACAAGTGGCCGTAGGACGTCTGACAGGGCAAGTATTACGGGGAACGAGAATACAGCGCAAACAAACGGTGGACCAGTAGAGGAGTATACACACAGACAAGGCGAATCCCAGAGAAAAGCTCACCGGAGAGAAGCTCACCGGAGATAAGCTCACCGGAGAAAAGCTCACCGCGAAACCGGCAGATGCGGAGAAAAGCTCACCGGCAATTAAGCGTATGCGAAGAAAAGCTCACCGATTTTTTTTCTTCATTTTATATGGAAGCTGTTGGATCATGCTAAACATATATCAATTTGTTATCATTAAAATTCATCAGCTTTTTAGAAAAGAAAGTGTCTTTTCTTGTAATATTTGGTAAGCTTATTGTGTATATTGCCACCAATTTAATAATTGCAGGCGAGTGTTTTCTGTGGCTTAATCTTTAGGCAACGAAAAACGAACTGAAAACTTAATGAACTTGAAGAATAGGAAAAAGTTCGAAAACATAATAATGCCATGCCTAAAACCTAAAAATCAAAATTCTAAATGGCGAAAATCCGAAAGTGCATGCGCAACAACGCGGTGCCTGAAATTCTCTTTGAAGCTTTTGTTAACCTTTGAAAACTGGATAAAACAGTCAGTAGGAAATCGAGGCATCTTTCTTCCACGGACATGCACGTTTTGTAGCCGTTCGTGCTGGTGTTTCCATACCTTGCCTTTGTGTGATAGTGCCCTTCTACGGCGAGCCACCGATGACCTTCAGAGCTGCACACTGGCACGTTTTTTCTCGTGACCTATATAAGAATTAGTCTTCTGTAATATAGCCAATTAATATCGCAAATTGGGCGACTTGGTAAACGTTATACATGTTGAAAACCGCTCAAACGACGACGACGGAGTGAAGACAACAAACACGACAGGACGAAGCTGTTCACGTAACTAAAGCTTTGTTAGTGAAATTAACAAAGAGGAAACAGCGTAGCCGACACTGATTACGTCAGCAAATACCTACTTATCTATTAGGCACTACACAATATTTGGAGCTGAAACGGTTCACACACCACTACTCATATGAGCTCGCAAAGAACAAACCTCTTTATCTGACAGAGCTACCGACGGCGCACTTTCAGCTGTATATAAATTGCATTTTTTACCGGTGTACAATATTCAGATTTTATACTTGCGGCTTCAATAATATACAAAATGGGTGATTACTAATTTCGGAGGAATTAGTAATTATACCTAATGAACTTCGAGAATATTACAAAAAGGGGATATATTTTTAATGAGTGACGAATGAGAATCGTGTTAAATTGACGCGTTTGACACAGAATACTCTAAGTTAAAAAAGAAAATCGGCGAGTTTTTCTCCGCATCCGATCAAAGGCCGGTGAGCTTTTCTCCGCATATGGCGGTTTTGCGGTGAGCTTTTCTCCGGTGAGCTTTTCTCCGGTGAGCTTATCTCCGGTGAGCTTTTCTCCGGTGAGCTTTTCTCCGCCGCCCGACAAGGCACTGGCTTTCTCGTTCCGAGCTGCATCAGAATGTATTCTCGTTCTGATTCATCACCAACTCGCCCAGATTTTTACGCTTCTATTACAGGGACGTCTTTTCAGCTCCCCTCTTTTGCTGCACAAGCCCACTGATTCTTGTGGTGTCTCTACTGTGCATGGGTGCTCAAAGCTTGCCAGACATGATGTTATTGTCGAAGGTGAAAAGATTGTGCTTGGTACAGTTCAAGTTGGCAGTCTTCTCATTTTCGTGAATGTTGGTGACCGTTTCCTTTAAGTCGTGCTCCGCTGTTGGCTGATGACAAGTTTTTGTGCGACTCCCTCCACGTCGTGTGTTAAATTGGTCTCCGAGTGGTCCATGGGGGGATGGTAAGACATACAAGGTACCTTTTCTGTATGAGGAACAAGCTGAAGGGAGTAGGGGTATAATTTATATCAGCCGATTTCTCTCCTCAAAGTCTGGGCAAGGGTTATAAGATCCTTTGAGGAAGCTCTGAGTTTGGATTGGTGACAGAAATTCTTCTGGACGGAGTGTACTATCGGAACGCTAACTACTGTTCTAAGGTGTTTTTGTTGCTCAAGATTGTAGCTTAGAATGAGTTTTGGGTGCGAGCTATATTTCTCAAGAATTCCGTACGGCTTTGCCAGAAGCCTCAGCACACACGTGTGGCTTTAGAGGTTGGTTTCCTTGCGCGGGTACTTGTGGAAATGTAAACCTCAGCAAAGCCACCATCTTATGCCTGGGAAAATGCTGCACCCCGCTAGTGAGATGGAATATTGTTGAGTCAGGGTCGATCGGGGATGGAAGAAGTTTGGCTTTGTTTTTCTCCAGTAACAACAGGATGTATGAAGTTTGGAGAGTCTGCCACAGGTGTATTTGCTTTAGTGAGGGCTTTCCTTATGGAAGGTTTCATTAAAAATTTCTCCTCCAAGGTCCAACCAACAGGTTCAGTCGCGCCTTTTAAGCATTCAGATAGATAGATGGACTGATGCTAGTGGCTGTACCCTTCATTTTGAATGGTAGCTTTTGCCACCTAATCTAAAATCTTTTCTGCCCCCCCCCCCCCCCCTCCCCCTCCTAAAGTTTCACCCCAAGCTTTATTCCCTGTCAGCCCATATAACCCATTAACTTTATGTGCAATTTCACACTTGCCTAGATCTTTTCCGCGGATCCCCTAACCTCGTTTTTTGTTGTTGTAATGCCCTTCTCATTTGTTCTCGTCTCCAAACCCCTGCGCTTGGGTCAAATCTGTTAGGAGCTAAGGGCCCAGCCATCGGTCCTTCTGTTACCATGGACGATCTTAGCCTGACCGTGAATTTAGTCTCGGCTTGTAGATCTTTAAAGGCTGCGTACAAAAATCAATGTTTCCAGATGGCATTCGTTAGAAGAAACATGCAAATGGACCTCTTCCATGGGACACTTCCTTGCCATCTCGACTTGAGTGAGCCTCCTGCTGCTGGGGTATTGCAGCCTGTAGGACATCTGATGGCTCTTTGCCGTATTGTTGGGACCTGTGCTGGGCTCACTGACCATTAAACTCCATTTCACCTTTAGTGTGAGCGTAGCCGAAACTAGAACGAGCTTTAAGCGTGTGCGATTGTGCAGTGCAAGCATTGTTCAGGGCAACATTCTTGGAGCTTCAGCTTTGCTTGTACATCAAATGAAACAAGCTTTAGTGAAATTTCGAGCATAACTGGGAACAGTCTTAGTTTGGGTTCTTAACCGAGGGTGGCATTGCTGTCTGTGTTGTGGCTTGCACCTAGAAGGTAGTGCATTGCCTTTGCCATTCTGTTTGACTTAAGCTGGGAACTGGATGGTGGGAAGCAAGCTTGCGTAAGGGCTTCTTTTGAAAGTTGCCGAATTAGCTTTGCATGGGCGATTCTGTAAAAACGAAGAATGAAATTGCTCACCGACTTTCTAGACAAAAAAAAAAGCATGTGCATGAGTTGGTTTGTGGATTCTTCTCGGGCATCTGCAACTAGTTTCCGAGGCAGTGGTTTCTCTAGATGCGATCACGTCGAGAGCTTTCCGGCTTAATTTTACATTAATCGAGTGTTGCGTGCATTTCCTTATGGAAAATGGGTTTGGACGTTTTTGAAAAGATTCAGTCTCCTCTTCAGTCGAGCAGATTACAGACTCCTGTGCTTGTTTTTGTTGAATTTCAGTATAAGAAACCACATTGTTGTTGTGCCATTAGACCTTGAATAACTCCTGTTGGGTGTCGGGCCTATAAGTACCAGCCTCAAGACATAATGCACATGGCAGAAACAGTGGTTCTTTCTTGTTGGACAGGGCAGTTGCACACTGTCGGTGTCTGCTTTTTCGACATAAAAACACATAGATCTCATGTTTATTTTATATTATATTCCTACTGTGCATCAGCAAGCATTTTATCAATAGCATTAGGAGCGAGCATTGCTTGTTTCACTTACCTTTCATGCAACTTACCACTTATGTCCTTCACCAAAAGTTTGTCTTTGCAGTTAGTGTGAGACATTGGGGTGTGACAAAATAAACTGGCAATGTATTTAGACTACCAGCTTTTAAGGTGACTGCTGTCTTCAGCACTGTGGGCACAAGGGTTAGCACAAAAGTAGAATGTTTTTGTGGATCTAAGGATGATTTACCAGTGTTTGGTGCAACACTCTTGCACCAAGCAGCAGTGTTGCCCCGGTGGCATGCTGCTTGACGAGCGCAGTAAAAATGTCCAAATCAGTCGGGGAAATAGTGTCTGCCAAGTTATGGTTCGTTGGAACATTTTGCTCACAAATACAAGGTGAGGTGCAAGGGCGAGCACGGCACAACACATTTCCAGCAACACCACTGTTTTTGAAGGGCATAGCAGAAGAATTCAAAGATGCTTGCCAAATGCTACCCACCCAGTCTGGGTGAAGCCCATCCCAGCCGAGGATCAGGAATTTTCAACTAAAGTTACCCATTGCTGCTAGTAACATATGACACCAGCTATTACAGATTGATTACCCGATAACCCGTCCATACT